ATTATGAAACCTTATTTAATGCAATTTCTCTGGGTTATGAAAGAATTTCATTTCGTTATCTAATACAGTTGCTGTAATGGATTATATGTTAGATAAAATAATGCCTCATAACAAATAACCGAGATGGCAAGGGTTTATGGAAATAATTTGGGATAATTCTTGAGTCATTCCTATTAGAAAACACTGCGTTGTCATACTTGATAAAGTTTGTGGTTCTCATGTTCAGATCATTTAATCTTGGCACTCAAGGTCAGACATGTTTAAATGATACTTATGTAGACTAGAAACTACGTAGCTCGAAGTAGACAAGATATAAATTATTATCCATACCTAAAGAATACAATGAAGCTCCATTTGATCATAAAGAAAATATTTTAGTGCATCACAGTCGGCCAGTAATGTATCTATATGTGTGTATGTATGTATATATATATTTCATTTATGATCGACTTGCAGACAAACCCGATGCCTTATAACGGAATATGCATTTCAGGGAATGAAGGAGGTGGGATACAGTGAAATGATGGCAACCCGTTGTAGTGAACAAAATGATAACAATATTTTTGTTTCTTTCACCTTACTCTTTTTGATATCATTTTGCTTTAGTTTGTCTTTTTTTATGGGACACAGCGTTTTAATAGGTACATCTTACAACACTCGCACCACTGACTTCTATGCTGAATCATATCTCTTCGCGTCTCTAATCAACAATAATCCTCACCCCTAGGATCTCAATGTGGAATGAGGGCTGTACTAAACAAAGCCATGTTATGGTCTTAAAACGGCACTGCTTCTTCCAGCCTTACCCGGCTCGTGCCAAGCATAGGCAGAACTTGACTCAATTGGCGGAGTTGATGTAGTGATTACTTATTTTCGAGAACTAAGATGGGCACCCAACAAACCACGACCAGCCTCGTCATTGCCCACCCTATATTCCCACCAGATATAGAAAATGCTTCCGAGACATCGATGCTCCAATATAAAAAGTCGATTAGGATTTCAGACGTGGAGGGACAAGGACTCGCAACCATAAAGCAGAATACTACAAATCGCGGCGATGTCCACCCTTCGCCTAAGGAACAGTCGGTTTTCATGATGGCATCACAGGCGTTACAGGTTGACGAAAGCTGCTCTAGTGTTCGCTATTCACGATGTGATATCCTCACCAACACCAGCTGCGATTAAGCTCCGGACATACTTGCAGTTCTCAACAACTTCTAGCTGATCACCATAGAGGGGGAGGTATACAACTCTTTGAGCATCGATGCATTCTTCTCAGGTACTCCATACCTCAACAAACAGTTCCACAGTGTAGTCCTATCAACAGAGTTAAAGGTTGTGCGGAAATATAAGAATACAATGATCTTTGGTCTCTGATAGGCATAACGGTGTTCTAGTAACTGTCGGAGGATGAAGATTTGATTGACGTATTCATGACTGGCTCGAATCCCAGCCGACTCCTCAGGGATCTGCTTCTTGCGGGTAGTGTACAATCTACGAAGAATGGCAGATACCAACAGCTTTGATGCCATCAGGATCAGGCTTATCCCCCTATGATTGGCACAGTCACAAGTGGGCCGTTTTTGAAGACGGGAGAACAGTCTGTTCCCACACGAGGATGAAACCTGCTCAATTTGCTAGACTTCGGAGTACACAGCAGTCAATTTTCTAACAAGCTATATTCCACCTGAGAGCTGGCGCAAGCCATCGTAATCCAATGCTTTATGACGTCCCGAAGCCTGGACCTCCTTACGGATTTCCGCCTCAGAAGGTGCTGAGACAGGCCATAGAATGTCTGCCGTAATAGCTGT